TTCCTCAAATTTCCTAACTGAGCAGGTTATCACTTTTACTTAGAAATCCCATAAAAGAGCTGTCCCAGGACCACAGACAGAGGCAGGCTGGAGAGCAGCTGCACCCCACGCCGATGCCTCAGCCCGAAACGTCAGCTCCTGCCCTGGCTGCTGGGTGAGGATGGAGGCAGAGAACAGGCAGGGACAGGGACATCGCTCCACACAGCTGTGGCGTCCTCCCCGCCAAAGTCACACGGGAAACGAGCGTCTGCTGGTTTCTTATTTAGGACACTAACTTCGGCAGCCCAGAGTTGGAGGGGACCGTTTTGTTGTTGTTAAAGGGCAACCTTCAATTTTAAGTTTAAAATAAACCCAGTCATCCTCCTTGGCTCCTGGCCTCTCGGGGGGCTGGTGGTGGAAAAGGAGAGGCCCAGGCCTCCCGGCCCCCGGACAAGAGCTGTCCACAGCCCGCTGGCACGTCCTTCTCGCCGCTTGACCCTTCGAGGAGGCTGTGGGAACCCCCGAGCAGGGCCAACACGCAGCAACCCCGACGGGGGCTTTGGGAGGCTTCGGGTGGCATGTGTGCTCCGTGACTGACGGGGACCTGGAGTTGCCTCCAGAATCCACATGCTCTAAAAGCCCGGGGCTGCACCTCCCTCCTGCGAGATGCTTGCTCTCTGAGTGAGGAGTGCGGCTGGCTCAGCAGCAACCGACCGCTGGGGCATCTTCTTGGGAACTGGGCTCTGGGCTCCGGACCAGACTTGTCACACTTCCTTGTGCACCGGGTCCCTGGGGGCTCCCGGGACCGTCCAGGTGCTGATTAGCCGGGTTGGTGGGGCTGGGCTCAGTTCCAAGCTGCTCCGGGGATGCTGACGGCACCAGTCCTCAGCGCACATTTTGAGTAGCAGGGGAGCCAGGCCTGGGCCTCCCCCGGTGCTGAGCCCGCCTTCACAGCCTGTGGAGAAGGGCCTCCCCCCAACGCCAGGCAGGCGCGAGTGAGCACCAAGGCCGGCATGGAGGCCCGGGGCTTGGAGGGGGCAGGTGACTGGACCGCAGAGGCCGGCTGCCCTCTGGGCTGCTCACCTCCACCTGCCCCCCGGGGAAATTCCATGAGGGCATGTCCCTAGTCCCGGCCAACGTGTGCTGAGTAAATTCTGTCTTTCAAACATAATGATGTTCTTTCCACTGATAGGACGTCCCTAGAGGAGTCACATTCACAGAGACACAAGGTAGAATGGGGCTGCCAGGGGCTGGGGGAGGGGGTGGGGAGTTAGTGTTTAACGGGGACAGAGTTCCAGATCGGGAAGATGAGAGAAGAGTTCTCGGGATGCGTGGTGGTGATGGCTGCACAACAGCGTGAAGGTACGTAATGCACTGAACTGGACACCGGAACAAGTTTGAGAAGGCAAATTCTGTGCAGCGTATTTTATCACACGCACAAAAATAACACGTGAAATCAGCAGCAAGAGGTAAATTCCTTAACACTATTTCCAGGGGGAGAGCGGACAGTAACAAAAGGCCCCGCTTTGACCTAAATTCTCCAGGCACAGAGGGGCTGATGGTCCCCTTGTGGGTCAGGAGCACTGACCTTGGAGTCAAGCGAGTCAAGGTCAAGCCCAGCTCCACCATTGACCAATTGTGGCTCCTCCAGCAAAAGCCAAATCAGATACCGTGTGAGGGCGCAATCAGCAGGAACAGGTGATCGATGTGCTCGTGTCTGTCTGCTATCACGTGCCCACTCTGCCTCGGGAACGGGAGTCAGAAATTGAGGGCAGGGCCATTGGGATTAATGGCCACTCAGCCCATCAAAGCTCGTGTTGTCCAGGCAGAGCCGCCAGGCTGCACTCAGTCAGGGACTCGAAATCCTGAGGTTCCCCAGCCTCCAGGAAGAGTCCCGTTGAGGGGTCTGGTGCTTGGCTGTTCTGCACTGCCGTTTGTCCCTCACTCATCCTCAGGACTGTGCACTTCAGAGGACAGGCAGGCAGGCCGGTCCCCATGGTGGGCCTGGATAAGGATGAGGCCGGTGTCAGGGATGGAGGGAGGCTGCTGTTTCTTTGGGACCCACCACAGAAAAACTCGAGTGCCCCTGGCCACAGGGACGTCAGCAGCCACTTCCTAGAAATAGGATGCTTATGTGGGTGGACAGAAAGGATCGAGGATTTTTTTCCCTTTTTCTTTTCTTTTCCTTGGCAACATATCCTTTACCAAGATTATTTTTCAGGAGTGAAGCCTCCCTTTTTAAAAGTGAATCCTGAACATCTGGCAGTCCCAGCTCACCTCCGAGCCTTTGCTCTGGGTGGACTCTCAAAGCTTCGGCTTCTGTGGCTCACTCACCTGATCAGTCATCTGATCTGTTGGCTCTCCTTGAAAAGACCCCAAATCCAACCACTTCGCAAGCCCTGCGCCCCGTCACTCTGCTCTAGGCCACGGCCATCTCCTGCCTGCATTACTGGGACGCCCCTCGATGGTCTCCCTTCATGCGTCCTTGGCCCCCACCCCACTGTCAGCATGCAGCCAGCATGCCCCCTCTCCTCCTCCACTAGGGGCCCACCCCTTGCTCATTCCACTCCAGGCACAGCGGCTCCTGCGAGGCCCGGCATGCTCCCCGAGGGCCTTTCTCTCCGAGGCCCTTCCCAGACACCTGCATGGGTCTTTCTTACTGCTTGCTGTCCTGGGACCTGTCTGGTCATCTCCCCGATCCCTCCCGAGCCCCGCCCGTTCATGGCCCACTCTTGCCCTTGGAGTTGCATCAACTGTGCATCTATCTTCCTTGTCTAGTCTGTTTACTACCTCCCACCGTCAAAACCTAAGTTCCACAAGGAGAGAAGCCTGTTTTGTTCCATGCTGTGTTCTCCGTGCCTAGGACAGTGCCTGGCTCACCGTGGCTGGCCAGCAAACGCTGTGTACTAAATGCATAACCGAGGAGGCCTGGATCCTGGGAAAGAACAGAAAACAAAACACCACTGAAGCTCAGTTTAGTTCACAGGCCTGAGCTGCCTCTTGACAATTACAAAAGTAAAACTGATTTTTAACGTAACTCCTTTCATTTTCCCCTTCTAAAAGGGAAAGGAAACGTCGAGAAGAGGGTGGAGGGGACGCAGAAAGAGAGCACAGCGTCTGCTGAAGATGGCACTTGGTCACGTGAGGGTCACCTCTGCCTGACCTGGATTCTCTGAAGGCACAACAGAAGAGAAAACCCAAACCTGATTTTTTCCCTAATAAACAGATTGTTCTTCTTCTTTTGTTTTGGTGAGGAAGATTCGCCCTGAACTAACATCTGTGTTAATCTTCCTCTGTTTTGTATGTGGGATGCTGCCACAGCATGGCTGACAAGTGGTGTAGGTCCGTGCCTGGGATCTGAACCCACGAACCCCAGGCTGCTGAAGCAGAGTGTGCTGAACTTAACCATTAGGCCACAGGGCCTGCCCCAAAACAAGATTATTCTTAATGATGAGGCTTATGTAAATCACTATTGGAGCCAAAAAATAAATTCTGTAAAAAAGGTCCTCTCTGCACGTGCCTAAGTCCCTTTCTCTTCCAGCACAGCTGCCTGGAGAACTGGACCCCACCTGAGACCAGGGTTTCTCCACCATCTATCCAGGATTTCAGCCAGCTCATCCCTGGGCACACAAGTTCAGAATAGGCTCAACCGTGGGGTAGAGAGATGGATGGCCCCAGAGGGAGGGGAGTCTGCAGGAGAGGGCAGCTTATTCCCGGGAGGCCAGAGTGGTCTCACATCTGGAAGTGGGAGAAGCAGCAGCCCAGAGGCACTGCATTTGCTGGACATCAGACCTCTTCGTAAGTGACAGGCAGAACTCTTTTGGCAAATTCCACCTTCTCCCCTCCTATATGCCTCCTCTCTCCTAACCCAGACTGGGGGTGGGGGTGGGGTGAGGTGCGGTAGGGTTGGGCTGGATACACGCCGCCGCTGGGAGGGTGGAGAGGCCTTTCCCGCAGGTCTGCACTCTTGTGTCTTTTCTATCACTTGCCTCTGGGGCCGCCCCTTTGCTCTTCACATTGACCAGGTACAGTCCAAATTCTGTCAGGACAACTTTTCTGCCTACGTCGGGGGCTGTAAATGTTGCTTGTCGGTGACTGGCAGCACCCACCTCCTATAATTGGAGAGGTTGGGGGCCTTGTCTCTTTGTGAGCTCCTTGTTCATTTTACCATTCCCAAGTTATTTGGCTGTTTCATCTAACACAAGTTCAGGCCCCCCCATTGCTGTTTCATCACAGCTCGGCTCCTGGGGCTGGTGAGGGAGGGGCGTGTGGTTGTGTGTGTGTGTGTGTGTGGGCAGCAGGGGGCCCAGGGGAGGAAGCCTGAAGGACCAGAGCACTGCAACTCTCCTCTTGCTGTGACCCGGCGCTTAGAGCTGAGAACGGTCAGCACATTTTAAGCATCGTCTATAATTAGCTTCCCTGAACCCAGCTGCCTTCACAGTTGCTGAGAACTCCCGTGGAAGATTGGAGACTTCGCCCATTTGCTGCTTTATGATGGCAGGCCTCCCCCAAACAGGACTTTGGACCTGCTCCATCGAGCCCTGGGGTCACTGTAACGTCAAGGTCTCCCCACCGCCACCCGCATGATCACTGTTTGAGTGAAGGGAGTCCCCCTCTACCCAGGGGCAACTAGACCCCTTAACACTGGGAGAAGGAGAAGGCCGAGCAGACTTCGCCAGAGCTGCTGCCTAGGAAAGAGAACTCCTGGCTTTAGCTGTTTCTAAACCATGACGCTGCTGCAGGCCCATGGGCCGCCGGCCACCCTGGAAGAGCCAGCCCGGTGCTCCGAGAAGTCCAACAACAGGCCACAGCGTGTGCTTCCAACTCCACGGGCGAACACAAGAAGCTTCTTTCTAAAGACGCCACCTGCTGGGGTGACGAGCGGTTCCTGGGAGCCCATGCTGACAGGGAGTTGTTGTGAGACTCCCCGGACGCCCTGGCACCCGTGACCTGCCGGAGCAGGCTGCAGTCTGGGGGCAGGAGAAGCTGACAGGATGACAGCAAATAACAGGACGGCTGCGTGACCGGCAATCTGCCGTTTTGAAATATAACATTTATTGCTTAGATGGTTTGATACAGAATAGCTTTTCTTCTCATTCTGAATTTGGAAGTACTATACAACTGAATACAAAGAGGAACAAAAAGTACCAAAACCAAACGTGTGATTCTGTTCGTGTGGCATAAACCAGTTTTGTACATAACCTGTAGCAGCAGTTTGTAAGTTCCCTTTAGAAAAATATGAATTCTACACATTTATTATTGTTTCCTGTTTAATGCATGGGCTGAAATCACTAGGATCAACTTCCTTCTTGAAGAAAGAGAGGAGGACAGAGAGGAACGGAGGGCGGAAGGGACGACGACTCTTCCTGAAGCGCACCCGGCTGCGCAGAGCTTCCCTGGGGCTGTCCGCACACGCCCTCTGGGGTGTCTGTTTTGTTTTCACAGCCAGGAGTTTCATGTAGTGATTGAATCTCAGCATTGTGTCCATAAATCAAAGAGAAAAACAAAAGAGAAGTTGCACCTCAAAAAACTTTTCAGAAGATCCATATATATATAATTTTTTTGTAAAAGCCCTGAGAGAAGGAGAAAGAGAATCAAACAAAATGTGTAGAAACAAATGAGCGGGACATGCAAACTAAGCTATGATTCACCCAGAGTTTAAACAAATCACAAATTTCACAGTTTAATATCGGGGGAGGGGGCAGAACAACGAACAAATAATACATTTCTCAACCTCACTAATAAAATGTGGCAAGACCTTATCGACTACGAGGGGACAGAGGAAGCCTGGATAAAGCTTTGAATCAAGAGTGATGATTGCGAGCCGCAGCCTGGCCGTGCCGTCGGCTGCACCTGCTACATTTCAGCGCAGCGTAGAGTTAGGTCGTGGCTTCTCCCCACAGTGTCTCGAGTTTTAGTGTGGGGAGTTGCAGAGAAAAACAAACACAAGAAACCCCAAATAATAATAACAACGAAAATAACAACAATCGTCATAAAAAGTTCATGGATGCACAAACTGGTTCTGATGCAGCAGACCACGCGCGGCAGGAAGGGAGACGGGATCATTGGTTCTGATTTGTGTTCATCTAGAGTAAATAACACCTTGTTTTGAAACTGGTTCATACATCCCTAATACAGTTAAAAATCATATATACCTCAACCTTTTCCTTTCACATGCAACGGTATCACTTTTCATTATCTCAAGAATATCTACCTTCCTTTGAAGTCTGGGCGGTTGGATTTTGGCCACCAGAAATTGGTGTGGAAGTGGAGAGAAAAGGGTCTGTGTGTGTCTGTGCATAGTGGCACTGAGAGCTGCCCGGGGCAAGGGGCCTGGTAGGGGCAGCTCCCTGGGGAAGGCAGGAGGGGCTGAGAGGTGAAGCAGCGCAGGAGGCCCCGCAGCACGAAGGCTCGGGCGTCCTAGAGGTCTTGGCTGAAGGACAGGATGCTGAACCCAAGCTCAGCTACAGTAGGATCTGTTTCTCTTCACTGCTGGTGGCTACCGTGAGGGAAGTCTATTGCCTGCATAGGACGGATGCTCGCGGAAAAAACACTGCCTTTTTGCACCCAGGGATTCAGGCGATTTAAAGCAACTAGAAACAGCACGTTTATCTTCCAGCACCAGCCCCAACACACAGGAAGGTAAATATCCATCTACATCTCATCTTCCGTCTTGCACGTGCAGTTTTATTACCAGTAGTAGTAGTATTTCCTCGCTTTGCAAATGACAGTAGCACAGGTGGGTAAGGCTTGGGCTGATGTGGCAGGGAGACCAGTGAGTAACAGGTCTCCTCTCTGCCTGGCTTTCTCAGAAGCCCCGGGCGCACGTGCCCTCGCTCGCCCCTCTGAGCTGCTCCTGGGCCGCGGGCGGGAGGACCGTCGTGGCCCCTGCTGGATTCTGCAGTCCCGGAGGAAAGGCTTGTCTAAGTACAGTAGAACAGCCACCGCCCGAGGGCGCCAGGGACAGCTGCGGGCAGACGCTCACACGGGGACTGGGCGGCCCAGGTCTCCCAGGACAAATATTGCCCATTTGTTTCTGCTGACTACAGAGACCAGCAAACCGATCAACTAAAAATAATAATAATAATAATATTATTAATACATATACCGAGAGGGGGACTCCGCTACGTGACCTCTGTGCCTGTTCTCTATAGGTCAGGTTGCCAGGGTAATTCTTCTCTGGAAGTTAAGAACGGAAGTTCTGAGACTTGGACAGTGACAGCAGGTCTAATGCTGAAAAAGTGGACACATGAATGAGGCTGAAGCTAGACTCTTCCCTGGTTTTGGCTTGAGCCAAATTGGACACCTTAATCAACCACATCCGGCAATACTGAGGACCGAATTACAGCTCCACCGCGTAGCAAACAGAACAAAAGAAAAGGTCTATTTGAGAAAAGAGCATCTTATCCATACTTCCTGTGGTAATTTACATGAAATTCACATCATTTTCTTCCAGTTATTGGCTACGGGTATCCAAGGGCATGTTTTTGTCTTCTGTTTCCAGCTCACAGAACAAACGTTACTATCACAGATTCACAAGAACGAGCTCACACACACCAATACAGAAGGTAACGTTAATGCTTAAATGAAAAGGTCATCTCCAAGTAATTCATTAAAATATTTGCTTTGTTTTTTAAAAAGTCATTTTGGGAAAACACAACACCCAGGCTGACGCCGGGGGACTGGTAAGTAGTTAAGGCACTCGAGTTGACGGCTGCGCCTCCCGCGCAGGGACGTGGTCAGGCTATGGCACCGGGCGAGATGGCCTGCTCCTGCTCGGCCCTCGCTCTCTCAATCTCTCTCACTCCCCAAAGCTGAAGGGCACTGAGGAAACCTCATGAAACATAGATTCAGGACACTTTGCTCTGCTGGCTTTCATCTGTGTGCTGGGGGCCACGACGAGCGGTCACTCCAGCCCCAGGAGTGGTGAGGCGCCGTCGGCTGCGGCCAGGATGGGGTGGGACGGCCTCTTGCTGTGCAGCTCCAGCAGGTCTTGCACCAGGGGCCCCGGGCTCTCCCGCTCAGGGTCACCCTGAGACGCCCGCTCCGTGGGGCTACCCACTGGAGTGGCCTTGGGAGCACTCCGGCCCGCTTCAGCCTGGCCGGCACCAGCCATCCGACCCGTCGCCCTCTCTTCCCTGTGGCCGGAATCCTTGGTGGCGTTGGCCAGGCTCTCCTTCCGGCTCCGGGTGACTGTCACGTGGTTGCTGGCCGGTAGAGCTGAATCTGCCTCGTTCTCCGAGATGGGGTTGTTGCCACTGTGGGTGGACTCGCTCTCACTGTCCTCCTCACCCCGCTCGTCCTTGTCGCTGTCCTTCCCGTGGTGTTTGGCATGCCTGGCTTTCTGGTGGACCCGCTGATGGCGAACCAGGCTGTGCTTCAAGGTGAAGGTTCGCTCGCAGGTCTGACATTTGTACGGCCTTTCTCCTGGAACGACGGGAGAAAGAAATTATGTCTGTTAACGGTAAGGCCGCCAGCATCCACCTCCCTGCTCGGTGTGAGGGCGGCAGCCATGCGAACGAGCAAAGGGGCAGAGGGTGGCAGGGGCCAGGACTCCCTCCTACAGGGGAAACTCTCTGTTGTGCAAACTGTCAAAAGGGGAAGCAGAAGTGTGAGGGGCCGGCCCCGATTTCTTTCTCCCTTTCTCTCTCAACCCAGGCTTTTCACATACTGATCCAGGGACCAGAATCTCAGAAGTGGAGTCCTCAGGGACATCCAGACTGGCCTGAAAAGAATCTCGTGGAAGGACAGCGGTGGCGTCCCTCCCACAGGGACAGGCACCATTTCCCAGAGCTCTGCCCAACAGTGGCCCCTCCTAAGTCAAAGGTCCAGACACTCTGTGTCCTGATACGGAGCAGCTGGGGCTTTCCCTCCTGCTCACAACGCGGACCTGTGAGCAGCTGAGAAGACCAGCTGCCAGGAGCCCAAGAATATCTCTCTGTTGGGAGCCAAGCACAGGAGCCTCCAAATCCCCTGAGCGCAGGGCCGAGCTGACTGCACGAGGCGGGGGTAGTGTGCGGGGAGCATGTGCACTGCCGGCTGTGGCAGAGAGGGAGGAGGAAGGCCGAGAGCAGGACACAGGGTTTTTTATTTTTGGGGAGGATATGTTTGCGTCTTTTGGCTTCATGATTTTATCCAGGTCTCCTCTTTACCGAAACAGCGGTCCCTGCCTTGGGGTTTGTGGCCTCGACCCCACGGGGTGGTGAGTTCCGGGAGGAGCAGGGACGCGTGAGCAGGGGCGCCCTGATGTGCCGTGCAGCAGCCAGGTGAAGAGCCCTCTCAGTTGTGTCACCCCAGCTGCTGCAGAGCCACGGGGAAAGCCCCTCCCGCTGCTGGGCGGCTCTGCCGCAAACTGCCTGCCCGACGGCAACACAGCTGCCCAGGCGCCCGGCAGAGCCTGGGGTGGCGAGCGCCACAGAGCGCCTGTCCCTGCTGCCTGCTCAGGACTTGACGAGACCACACGCCCCAACTGCCCAGCACCTACTTCTTCCAGATACTCAAGAGACAGGGCAGCCATCGTCTCCATTCTGGGGAGAGGAAGACCGAGGCTCAGAGGACGGAGGGACGGACCAGACGTTCTCAGAGCCCCAATGCCGAGGGACGCTCTGTGGCTTCGCTGCAAGAAGCCTGCAGTTTCAAGTGCTAAGAAAAGAACTCGTTAAATCCCTGTTTCCCGGGCTTAAGGCGCACGTGTGCGAGCTCAGGAAATTCCCTCTGGCCGGGTTTCCATCACTGCTTCAGGGGAGGCTCCTCCTACAGACTGAGGTGGGCTGGAGGGAAGGGACAGAATCAAAGTCGCCCCCCTTGGCAGGCTTGGAAACCAGGGCCTTCCCGAAACGACGCCCCGTGGCCAACCCAGGCTCTGCAGGAGGCCGGCCGCCCCTACCTGTGTGGGACCGCATGTGCCGGGTCAAGTCCTGCAGGGACCAGAACCTCTTGTTGCACACGCTGCAGACCTTCTTCCTCTTGTCGGCCTTGCTGGCCACGCTTCGGGGGGAGTCTGTCTTTGGCTTCTTGTCATCGTCACTCTTCTCCGAGGACTTCTTCTCGGTTGTGCCCTCCCCATCGGAGGCACCCTCCACCTCCTCGCTCTGCTTCTCAGTGGAGGCTTCTGACGAGGCCTCTCCCTCAGCCGGCGGCTCCACTGCCAAGGTGTGGGCAGGCTTCTCCTCTGGCTCAGGCGGAGGGGAGGTGGTGGGGATGAGCAGAGGCCCCTCGGCTGCTCTGCTAAACTCCTGGCCCTCCCGAGGAAGCGCGCCTTCCTCCTTGGGCTCCTCGCGGCCGTGGGCCTTCCTGTGGCGGCTCAGGGTCCCAAGGAACTTGAAGCTCTTGCCACAGATGTCGCAGGCGTGCTTCTGGTCCTGCTGGGTGGAGCCTCCGCTGCCCACATTGCCAGCATCGCCCTCTGCCAGCTTGAAGCCCATCAGCTTGCTGGCGAGATTGAGGTCCAGGCTCTTGTTGCTGACGGTGTCTTCCTCTGGGCCATCTGCATCCTCGTCCGTCTCCTCCACCCCAGGCTTTTCCTCCTGCTCCTGGCTCTCCTCGGCTGCCTTCTCCTCCCTGTCCACAGCCTTCACCTCCTCTTCGGGGAGCTCTTCTTTGACCTGGCTAGGCTCAGAGGTTCCCTCCATTGTTGGCTGCTCTTTCTCCCGAGAGGTGAGGTCCAGCACCTCGCCTCCTGTGGCCAACATCTCCACATCTGACTGGCTGTCTGTGTGAGCAAACACAGGGCATAGGGTGAGACTGAATGCCACCAAACATGCCACTTTCAAGGGCTCTGTCATGACTCAGCTGAACACACCCCCGAAGCCTGTACCCCAACCCCAGCAAGGATTTCTCTCACCCCAAATCCTCGTCACCCCTTACATGCCGGAGGGCCAAGATGAATCTGGGGTTAATTCACAAAAGGCAAAAAAGAGCCTCCACATACACACAGATTGGGGGTCACAGGGCTGACCGTGCCTCGGAACTCCTGCCCTCCCCTTTTACTGCCCACTAGCCATGCCCGGCGCCCTTCACTGCCACACACAGGGATGGTGAGGCCCCCAGGAAGGTGAGAGCGACGCAGGGCAGTGCAGACAGAGGGACGGCGAGAGGAGAGTGGGTGCATTCCAGACTTGCAGCACTAGGGAGATTGAGGAAGCTGAGCTGTAAGTTATTTTCCAGTGCAGAGAGATTATACAAACATGCGACATACACAGGACTACCCCCAAAGACGGCATCTGGTGAGCAGCTCTGAGAAATGGCTCAAAGCATGTGTTCTGTGCTATGGGGCACGCGCTCCCGCCTGACGGCTGATTTCCAGGCAGAGTTCCAAGGCGAAAGCGGCCCCATGCACACCTGGGGGCCTCTCTGGCTGCTATTAGGACCCCATGTAGGGAGTGGAAACATTTCCTTCTGTTTGTTCCTACCTGTCCACTCTCCACAGCAAACCCAGAGGTGGACAGTCCACCACAGTTTGTACCGACCTTCTTAAGGGATGGCACTGTGGCAACACTAACAACACTCAACAGAGGACAGTATTTATCAAAAGCACCGTTTTTGAATGAGGACTTAATGACTTTTCTATTATGTGCTATGACAGTGACGCTATCTGCCGAGACCTACCATTTAACTACAGATCCAAAGGCCAATTTATCACTGCAGGGACTCAGCAGCTCCTCCGAGAATCAGGCTGACGAAGTTGTTTCATGGCACATACGTTAGATGCACCTCCCTCGTTACGCCAGGTCTCTGATTACAGTGCTGGAGCCAGGAGATCCAGGCATGTGACCCAGACCCTCACCTGATGGGACAACACGTACCACAGTGTCCACCCAAGCCCATCACTCTCTGAGTCACATGCTTATTTGCCATCAAGGCAGTCCCCGGGCTGGGGACAGAGGAGCTGGCACCACCCCTCCCATGGTCACATCTACCTGAGACTTTTGGTTTACCTACAACCAAGTGGAAGCAGCACTTCCACTCACATCATTTCATTGGTTTTATTCTGACTGTACTTTTTGGCAGCTTCTGTTTGAGTATCTCAAAAGGTTTCAGAAGGAAACAAGTAATTATGGTGTGAATATAATATTTCTAACAATAAACGATTTTTGAAAATTATCCAAAAAGTTTAAAAAAGATGAATTTTGAGATATATACACCAACGTCTAGGTCCCAGTCTAAGGAAAAACTAGATATCATTTTCTTGAATCACTCTAATACAGAGCACCTATTAAATGGGTCTTGGTATAAACTCTGTAATAAAAAAATACAGAATGCTCAGTTTCTTATTTGCTGGCTTTGGGGGTAGTTACATTGGAAAAAAAGGCTTAATCTCTGGTTACTACCTATTTGTCACAGTATATTCTAGGCCGTCGCTCTTAATTATTAAATTTTTTTCACCAAAGAACATAAAGTTTAACTGTAGTAGAACATATTTAAGATGATCTTGAAAAAAAAAATAATGAATTCTGAAACCAAACCCAAGTAAATATAGTAAGACCAGACTGCTCTCACTCTCGGGCCGTTCCCTGGCATGAATAATGGAGAGTTCACCCTAAATGCAACGAGAGGCCAACTTGCTTCTTCTGGTGAGCAGAGGGGGCTTGGCTGTGCTCTACCCAACTTCCACTAGGGGGAGTGGTCTAGCAGGGCAGCCCGTGCCCTTCGAGTTCCAAGCAACTCCAACAATTCTTATTAGCGATTCTTGGGAGCAAGAGACTTACCCTCTTCTTATCTCACGAATATCCAGCTTATAACATCAAGTCCTATTTGGATTCCGCAGTCCTTGGCCACCCACACTTCCAAATGCAAGAAGTGAGCTGATGACTCTCTTACTCGGTGCTACCTACCTTCAAGTGTTAATTCTCTGTCCCCATCAGTCCCTCATTTGTGATGCTAAATCTAAGAAACCGCTTGAGGAAGCAGACGGAATCCTGAAGTCACTAGTAGATAATAAGCCCAGAGCTCCTCCTGCGGGAAAGTGCAGACTTTCACGTCAGCTCAACAATGAAGTAGCTATTGCTTCCTAGAAATTCCATGTTACTCAACTGATGTGACAAACGACCAAGCTAAATACCTAATCTGATTGGGCAGGGGCACAGCTGTGCAGGAAGTTGCTCTGTCTGCTCTTCACCTACCGAGCAGCAGAGCAGCACTTCCTGTGGTGCAGTCCACGCTGGCACGTGGGGCTTCTGGGCTGGTAAGGGAAGCCACCATTAAGGGATGGTTTAAAAAAACCTCCACGTTTATAACATGCATACTGATTTAAAAAGTCACAGGTAGGTGGCCACAAATATGAAGGCTCCTACAGGCATCTTCGGAGGAGGGGCCAGGGCACCTCTCTGCCCACTAGAGAGTGAATGAAGAGTTTCAGTCTAACTCTGAATGGCCAATGTGCCCCTCTAGGCTGGAAATGCCCCATCGGAGCATTTTTAGCATTCCTTGGGGGAAACTCTAGGGTACATTTCTGTGAAAGGCCTTATGTGAGTGGAAAAGTCAGACCTACATCATAAAACATGTTTAGGGATTTTAAGAAAATGTAATCTAGGCATATAAACCCAAAAAACCCAAGAACTTCCTTGGTCATTTCCTGCCTTTGTTTTTGTACGGTCTTCCTCCAAGGCCTCACCTTTAACTTCATGGGAGGGAGCCCCGAAAGAAACTTCCAGTCCCCCCACCACGCTCACCTGGTTTTAAAACTCTCCTTGAAATCACTCCCCCATCCCCATTCTCCCTCTCTTGAATCTCTGACGGATTGCGAATACAATTAAACCAAACATATATTTTCTCTTTGCTGGTTTTACATTACAACTTTCAGTGAATTTTCGTTTTTCAGAGGCTTTGTCCCTTAAAGAAAACCTACACAGCTTCTGGGGCAGGGCGGAGGTGGGGGAGGCTCTGATGGGATTTGGAAAAACAAAACTGGGAGCTGCAAATTAAAAAAATAAATACAGCTTCAACGTAAAACTTGGTGCTCAATCGAAGCTAAGATAGAAATTCCAACTAGCTTTGTGTCTGCAGGCTTCTTCAGATGCCCCCTCGGACGTCAGCAGGGGTCCCAGGTCTGGTGTTCCTCCATATGATCAAGAAGTTGAACCCAAAATGTGCATCCAGCACACGGTTATTACCCTTTAAGACTTGTCTGCAAACCAGGAAACCAAGGGCTCCCGTGGACTCCCTCAATTATCTGCTGCTTTCCCTCCTTCAGAGCCACTAGGGGTGGGATCACAGGCGCTTTCCTAGAGGCCGAGAGAAAACATGTCACTGTGGGTTTCCTCGGGGTTGAACAGCAGCTCACCCAGTGACCTTTGGTGCCAGAGGATCCAAGTCGTGGCAAGAGTCTGTGGGCGTCTATGCCTTTCTTTACTCAAAGATCCTGGCAAATTTTGTGGAACAGGAAGCTGGAGGGAGGAGCCAGCAAACTGGCCTACACTTTTACGTTCCTAGAGGGTTGGATCTTAACCAAAGGGCCTGGCAGTTCACGGGCTTGCTTCACCAGGGTGGTGGTGGGGGGCCCACGGGTGGGCAGAGGGTTCCAGATCAATTCCTCTTCCTGGAAACCCTACCTGTTCAGATGTGCCCACTCCCCCTGTAACTGACACAGAGACAAGGGGGCTGGGATTAAAACCCAACACTGACTCCCAGTGGGGGTGAGGGGGGGCTCCCAGACAGCACCCTACCCCTACCCAAGTCTGAGGGAGAGAACCACAGGGCACCATTACAACCCTAGAAAAGCACATTTAGGGGGCATCTCCTCGGCTTCAAGCAATGGGGAAAGGTCAAGATTTCAAGATTTGCCAAAGTGAATCCCTACCTGTAATACTGCTACCAACCAATGGCCAACCAGCCGTGTGTCTAAGTAAACTGCAGCAGCCAATTTTTTGTTTTGTTTGTTTTGGGGGGTGGGGGGCACAGAACCCCAGCAGTTGGAGATGACGGAATGTGCTGAATAGAGGACATGAGTAAATACAGAAGCTGTAAGGAAAAAAAAAAGGTGGCAGGAGACGCACTGGGCAGCCGTTAATTGCTCTGTAGGGGGCTGGAGGAAGGAAGCACATATCAGCACATGAGAATAATACCCGGATTCAGGTCAAGCAGAGATGTGATTAAAGAAAGGACATGCAGAGTGCTTTTTCAAACAAGACAAAGTTTTCTACCGGGAAGAGAGTTATTGAAAAGAAAAACACCCCCACCCCACCCTGCCCCTCCCTGTCAAGGGCTGGGCACCATGAGTTCCTGCAATACCCTGACATCTGAGCAAGCCCATCCCTGCTCTGTAGGATGCAGCAGAGGCTGGGATTGGAGAAAACAACACCCTGAGCCTTGAAGGTTTCACATCCCTTTTAGATGTGATCCTACCAAGAGCTAGGACTGTTCACCCTCCCTCACACCCCTCCTCCAGCCGGCCCAACAGCAGGAACAGACGTCCGCTGGGAGGGTGACATCTTCCCTAGTGGCTCAGAAAAGCAACCTAGGGGCGCTGTCCCTGTTTCCCAAAACCCAATCCTGCTCATGCTCCCAATCCTTGGCAGGGCGCACCTTGCTGGACTGCGGAGTCCTACAGAGAAGAGGAAAAGGCAGCCCCGCCATAGCTCGGAGGGCCGAAGTTGGCTACGATGCTAACCGAGTACTCCGAGCGGCCCTCCTCTCTCCCTCTCCTCCTCTCCATCACCTGGAAGCACTACCTGTGCTATCATGGGGTCCAACATCACTCTCTTTTGACTGGGGGATAAGCCCGTTTCTTCTCAGGGAACAGTTGGTAACTCCGTGTTTGCGCAACTGGTGGCGTTCACAGTTAGATTTGGTAGAAAAGAAGGCATCGCATTTTTGACAAGGGAAGGGTTTCTGACCTGAAGCAGGAAAAAAAATATATATTTATCTGGCTTTCTACTGCAATGAAAAAGAAAAGTTGCTTTCGATTCATTTTCCTGGGATTATCAGCATTTGTTCCCTCCCCTCCTCCACCCCTTTAATAAAATAAACAAAACACATTAAAAAAAATACTGAGAATATCAACCACTCAGGTGCTCATTTTCCCTTATCCTCAGTGGAATAGAAAGAAGGTTTTGTCTTCAAAATACTAAAAGTTAACAATGAGACCAAGATACATACGTTTAAAGTAAAATAACAGTATTATATCTAAAACCTTAAATAACAACAAAGTGAGTAAAGCGATTTTGAAGCACAGCAAGAAAAACCTGGAGTCTGTCACAAAGAGAAGACACTTATAGAACTCCCAGCACGGCAAGGACTATGGATGCTGGGAATCAAATGGGATGAAGGAACATGCCCAGGGGCCCTCCTAGAGGAATCCTGAAACCCTTGATGTCTTTGGGGCCAACCCCCTCCTGCTGACCTGGGTGGGGCTGGCCTCCCACAGCAGACCGGAAGTGGGGAGTCTGACTTCTCAGGACTCCTCCTGTCTAACCTGCTGAGTCGTCCTGCAATGACCTCTGGCCAAGGTCACTGTGGTCCTGGTTGGCATGACAGAGGTCTGCTCTAAGAAGCATTAAAGCTTCTTTGTTCCCCTGCTCTAAGGTCCTGCTCAGGAGTAAATAAGTGACCAACAAATAACTGAGTCTGGTTAGGAGATTGCTGCTCCACTCAACAGGCTGCGCCTGAAGAGAAGCCGCTGAGCAGCCCCCTCCCACCCCAGCTCCACGAATGGGGTAAACTGCTGAGAGAGGAGTGTATCCCCCACCCCCAGCAGTTATCTGCTCTGGTGTGCCTGCCTCTCCTTTTATTTGCATTCCTTCTGTACTGTAAACACAATATTTCAAAACGCAAGCTAGGCTCTTCTGCAATCATCCTGTGTTTGTGGGGATGGTGTGAGGGGCAAGCAAGGGCCAGGGCAGACAGAGTGTGGATGGAAAGAAGGGAGGGAGGAGGACAGGGGAGAAGGGAAGGGAGTAGGTGGGTTTCAGGAGAGAGAAAAGGGTCAATCATTTACTGGATCACTAGATTCTTCTGTTTTCCCCCATACCAGATTCTAAGCTTCCAGTTTCTGATTTTACAGGGGAAAAGGTTCATGTACTAACAGACACAACTTCGGCACTGCAGCCTAGCACTTCTGTCTCATAATCTTGGGGCTGCTACAATCACATACATGTCCAGAACTGGCAGGAAAGTCAAACACGCACAGCTCCTTTGAAACACCAATTGCAGGGCCTTCAACCTTCCGTCTAGATCACCATCGAACGACGCCTAAGTCCAGGCACTTACTGCGAACACCATGGGCCCGAGCCTGGGGTTTGCAGAAGGGGAAGGAAGGTCTAGCACTGCCAAGTCACACAACTTTGGGGGGTGCCATTCACCCCCCAAGCATGCTGGTGTGCAACCCTTCATGGCTGGAATCACGGTACTGCCAAGTTTGAGCATCAGTAGTAATCAAAGAAAGGGGACGTTCATTCCCTCCTGAGCTGAGAGACCCTCTCAGGGGATGGTTCCAAGTCACCAGTGGAGCTATTCAAGAATACAGATGCCTGGGGCTGGCCCCGTGGCCGAGTGGTTAAGTTCGCGTGCTCCGCTGCAGGCGGCCCCGTGTTTCGTTGGTTCGAATCCTGGGTGCGGACATGGCACTGCTCATCAAACCACGCTGAGGCAGCGTCCCACACGCCACAACTAGAAGGGCCCACAACGAAGAATATACAACTATGTACTGGGGAGTCTGACTTCTCAGGACTCCTCCTGTCTAACCTGCTGAGTCGTCCTGCAATGACCTCTGGCCAAGGTCACTTGGGGAGAAAAAGGAAAAAACAAAATCTTAAAAAAAAAAAAAAAGAATACAGATGCCTGGAATGATCAAAGACTAGGGAATCAGGGGCTGGTCCAGTGGGGTAGTGGTTAAGTTTGTGCACTCTGCTTCAGTGGCCTGGGGCTCACTGGTTCAGATCCTGGGCACCTCATCAAGCCATGCTGTGGCAGGCGTCCCACATAGAAGAACTAGAAGGACTTACAACTAGGATATACAACTATATGATGGGGCTTTGGGGAGGGGGAAAAAAAAGACCAAGGAATCAGAAACCTGGGAAGGGTGGAATCAGAAGCCCGGAAACCCAGAAACCCAGCATGTGAGCCTGTAAGGAGCTTCACAAGGGCCCTGCAGGATGAAGTGGCGAACCCACCACCTGCCTTACAGTGGTGCCTTACAAAGTTCAGCGGGCGTTTCCTGCTAAATTTATAAAAATGCCCACGTTAAAAAAAACCCCACATTTTTGTGTCAAGTTGTAAAGTATTTTAACTTTTATTGCGTACTTTTCAAATTTCTTCTTTTTGCTAAAAATTGGACATAATAATTATTTGGGCTCCATTTTAAGTAAAAAAAAAAAACAAAACTTTTTCCTTTAACATTTTATTGTCAAAAGGCAACATCACAGCTTCTCTAAGTCAGGCTAGACTGCGAGGAAGACAAGTCAGAAGCTCTGACTATGAACTGGGATACAAGTCTTGATTTCAAATGAAACAACTGGTTTCTTGCTTCTACATGATTTACTCTGTAATTTTCACACTGGTAAATGCTTCACTTTTACAGCTAGTGTGGATGCTAGGCTGATGTGCCATGATGATGAAGATTCCTATTAAGGCTCAATTCAAAAAACAATTCAATGACGCGAAAGTATTGCATCACATTATGAAGAGTCCCAAAGTGACAACTAACAGGAGTCTTTACAAGTTTACATTTTATCGCGTAAGTTTTACATCTGAAACAGCAGCGTGCTCTAGATTGCATGGACAGAGGAGAAGATGAGCCCTTTCCATATTTTATAATCGTACAGGTGTCAATAAAACTTGTTGACTGGTAATCTATATGGAAAGTTTCAAATGATTTTATTTATTTGGTAACTGCCACAAATTACTGATTTAGTGGGGTGTTTTTAAGTGTAACCACAGGATATCAAAGACCTATGATATCCCTCCACTTCCAAATTGACTGGTAAAAGTCATCAGCTGGCCAGTTTTCACTCTCATAGAACAGTCAAGAAATGAAGAGGGAAATTTTATACTAAATGATGTTATCTGCCAGGGACTGGGGAAACAGCAAGCAGAAGAACGAACAATGATGACATGGCCTCACACCTTCAGACTTCTCTCCATCGCCCTTGCACCCTCTCAGTGAAGGTTTCTTTCCATATTTTCTTTCTTTCTCTATTTGGCAGGGGTGTACACAAGGCTGGCTGTGTAAAAATGTCCAAAGTTGCCACTTAAGAGAGTTAAAAGTAGCCAAACACAACCAGTGTCAGAGTGCCTTCCACACTTAGCTTTGCACATCTTACTGATTTCAACTCCAAAGCCTGTTGCCTGTGAGCAAGTGCGTAGGAGAGGTGAGTGGGGAGGGCCCCAGGCTGGCAAAGAAAAGCAGTTAAAACCAACCGTGAGAAAGTGAGCGAGCCAGGGACCCCCAGAATGTCAGAGCCAGGGGGCACCTCAGGCATCCCCAGGTCCCAACCCTTTCTTTTTATGAGGAAAGGGAAGAGAGGAGGAAGAGGATTAGGACAGAGGCGGGAACTGACTGGCTGTGTTTTCTGGCACTCGCTCCTCCGCTTGTGGCCTAAAAACACACGAGACGCTCACGAGGGGAAAAGGAAGAAACCGTGAACTAGCCTCTCCTGAAGAGGCAATACTGTTCAGCCAGAGAAAGGTAACTGTCTCCGATCAACAGGACGCTATGGGCTGGGAGAGGGCGGAGAGGAGTGAAAAAGGAAATACAGCTGTGTGTGGAGAGCACGCTGGGGGATATGAAATATGACAGCAGACACCAGCTTCCTCATAAAACACAACTCCTAGAACTAGAGCCACACACAGAGAAAGGCCTGAAACCATGTGCCCCTTGCCTGCAGCAACAGTGAGGCCCTAGATGGACACTTGACATCAGGTCTACTTAATGCTGCCCGTTTAGGGGGTGGAGTGAACTGGAAACATGTCTATGAGACAATGTACACACATGACGATAATTCTACACATTTGCTGAGAGATCAGGAGAAAGCTGAGTCTCAAGACCCAGACAGTTTGCCTAAATGCAATCTAAAACTGGACCCTGCTCAAGCTTCTGGCTGGAATGCAGCTCGATTTTAATGCTACAATGGAAAAAAACGCCTCTCCCCTGTATAACACCTGTTTACAGGATCATTTCAGAGTCCGTGTTTAATTTCTGTACTCTTTCATATGTGCCTTGGTCTTACTTCAAAGTTTCTGGAGGGAGCATCTCACAGAAAGCTAGGCAGCCAGGAGACAGGCAGCTCAGAGATTCTTCAATAGCAGAAGCATCTACCAGGAAAACACCAGTGTGTGGGAAGAGCGAGTGGATCAGATGATTTCCCAAGCTCCGTCCAGCTCTAGCGCTTGATGTACGGAAAATGTTCTAACATAGCACCAGACACCGCCAAGTGCTCTACAAAATTATTTAATAGAGGTGATGCTGAGATTGTTGCTGGAAGCTGAAGCAGGGCGACAGCAAAGGAAGTTAACAGAGCCCAATGAGAGCCGACCTTTATACAATGTCTAAGCATGTGGCTAATACCACTCTGTGGCCCTTAAGTCTTTGATGAATGGTATTCTGGTCCACATCTGTGTTCTATCTTATCTCAAACCACTTCCCAATCTTCTGCATCGGGACATGTCAGGATACAGGCAGGCCAAAGGAGGTACACTCTATACACCTTCAGATAGAGCACCAGTAGCCACACCAGCCTGACTGTGGGGCAGCTACAGGGAATCTGACCCTGTCTTTGAACGCCACCTCTACTGCTCATTGAGTAGGCAAATTACTCAGCCTCTGTGAGCCTCCATTTCCTCATGGCAAAATGTGGACAACACTGCCCTTATGGGACGGTCACGAAGACTAGCTCTGAAAGCTCTCTCTCCCAACCCTGTACACAGGGATGACCCCATGAGTCAAGGCCTGCAACCCCCACTACAAGATCATAATGTGATAGCATGTCAGGGATGGGGCTGAGACAGACATAGCCATTACGGGTGCAGTAACTGTGAAGGGAAAAGGGGCAGAACGTGTTCATATTTACATCCACTCCATCCTACCTGCCTTAAACAAACTTCCCATCTTCCTTGCTCAGTTTCTGATGCTACCAAATTTTAAACCAACTAGGACATTTTGGCATTCAAAAGCTAGGCAATCCAAACGACTGGATTCACAAGTGGGAACTTACATCAAGCATCTGCAAAGACACAGGTACAACCCTTGAAAGGAAAGACTGTCTGCTCCAGCCCTCTTAGGGAGGCTGTCAGCTTGCCAAGCAGACAACGTCCAGGAATAAATGGCCTCATCTGGGGAAACATGCACGGGATCTCCTAGCACACGGCTCCTAGCTGGAGGAGGGTGGTGGAGAGGCTGGGTGACAGCGGGGGGAGAGCAGAGGGTGAGGCAGGGCAAGAGCCGCCCTCATCATCAGATCCAGACCATCTGCTTTCTGAAAAGCGGTAACAGAAATACTCACTTCTCCAGAGACTCTGCAGGCAACAAACAGGTGTCACCCAAAAAGGGTAGCAAAAGACACTGCTGTGTGGAGCACCTTCTTTTGAAGATGCATCTTCTTTCTGAAAGGCTTTCTTCATCAGAACTGTTACTTTGTCAGGCTTAAATGATTTCAAATGGATAGAAAATGATGGCCTGAAAATGCAGCATACACTTCAGACATCTACAAATTCTGTGTCCTGTTAATTGAGTCCTCCATGGACAGGCACGCCATTCAATGCTCACACGCCTGCTGCCATTCAATTCCTGGATTTGAGGCCCTACCACACCAAAAACAAATGCCGCGTCTATGCTGCACCCAGCTTCAGAGACTCCACAGCTTGCTCTCCCCTCCCCATCTACTCTCTGCTCACTTTTCTTTCACAGGGATGACTCTGACCTCACTCCTGCTGTTCCACCTCCTTAGCAGAAACAGGCTTCTTCAGAGCTTCAAGTGACCCTCAAGCCTGAAGGAAGTGTTTGCACCTGGAAATAAGGCGCGGCTCACACCCAGTCCCCACTGCCTTCCCCTCACCACATGTAAGCTTCGTGAACGTAGGGTTGCCAGATTTAGCAACCAAAAATACCAGGATGCCCAATTAAATCTGAATTTTAGATAAACAACAAATAAGTTTTTAGTACACCCCAAATATTGCATGGAAAATATTTATACTAAAAATTGTTGCTTATGTGAAATTCAAATTTAACTGGCATTCTGTATTGTATCTGGCAATCCTGTACCACACAGCTCTTTATTTGGTTTTAGGTCCTATTAATATTTGGGTAGTATCTCCAAAATGTTAAGGATCGCAGTTAAGATCTCACCTAATTTATCCTTGGAGTCCAATGATATAAATCTTGTATGAATATTCAGTAAATTAAAATTAAATTGAGAACTACGCAGTCATTTGACTACTAGAAGTTGCGAGTATAAAATTATTTAAAGTGCACTCCTTATCTTAAACTTCTCTTTAAAAATCAACATATGGAAACTAACATTTGAAAAATACTTTCGGATGCCTTTTTGGTAATTTCAGTCTGCTTCTTAGACTATTTATATGTGCGTGTTTCTCTGGAATAGCTGACAATTTTAGTATAAATAAAACTTTAAAAGAATTCCAAAACTACTCGTCACTGATTTTTACAATATATAGGGGAAAATGCGACCACCTTAGTGAACTGAAAGATAAGAGCAAAATTTGCAATATTTCCCTTTAAGAATACCTGGTGGTCAACACAACATCACAGAATGTTTAACATTTTAAAAGCTGCCTTGAGGATGTCGACGCGCAATTTCTCCTGCCAAAGCACCAAGTTGATTCTGGCCCAACACCTCAAGACCAAGTTCCACTTCTCCCTGGCTGCCTCCCGTGCGTACCCAGTACATAACCTTGCTACCTTCTCCAGAAGGAATGAGGCGGATGGAAGTAAGTGATCCGACTGGCCTACGACCACGTTCACCTACAAACACCTTACGTTTCACCCCTCCCTTTACCAGCCACCCCTGGAGAGCTCAGACAACAGGAACAGGTCATTCTGGTTACAAGACCACAAGCGGAAAAACCGACAGCAGCATCAGGCAAGAGCCCGGCCTCTGAGACTGAGGAAGGAGAGAAGGTAAGAATGGGGTCATAGGCAAACAGTCCCGTGCTTTCGACTCCCACCCCTGCTTCTCCCTCACCCGGCTGGCCAGGCCACAGCCTCCCCGCAGGGGAGGAGGACCCACAGCCTGGCAGGATCCTCTTACCAGTGTGTGTGAGCATGTGCCTCTGGAGGGAGCTGGCCCAGGGGAAGACCCGGGGGCAGTGAGGACAGTTGATCTTCTGCAGGCAGTTGGCGTAGGAGTTGCGCTTTGCCCTTAGCAGCTTATCTTCTGGGGGGCTGCCCTGCTCTTCATCACTGGGCCCGTTGTGCTCAGCAGGCGCTCCAGCCACCTCATCCTGAGTGTCGTCCTCCGCGGTCTGCAGAAACGGACTGAACTTGTTGGTGTCTGTAGTAGCCAGCATCTTCTCGATGCTGGCAAACTCCCCACTGGAGTCCAGGTCCATGCCGCCGCTGCTGGCTTGGGGCCGGCTCCTCACCCCCTTCTTCCGGCCCCTCTTCTTTGACAAGCCAGCTGGCCCCTGCTCGGTGGGCGAGGCCGCCTCTGGGCTGTTGGCAGCAGGGGGTGAGTCACTGGATTCTTTTGGACTTGCGGTGTCGGTGGGAGCGGTGGCAGCTTTGGGGATGGTGCCTCCTAAGCTGTCGGAAACTGTGGTGTTACTGCCAGTGCTGGTAGGCCCTGGGTCAGCCACCTTGGTTTTGAGCAAGGTGGGGGCAGAGGACACAGATGAGATGATCTGGGCAATAGAGGCCAGCGGAGGCAGCTCTTCTGTCATAGAGGGCTTTGGCAAGAGCAGGGGGGGCTTGGGGCGCAATGGCCGCAACAAGGCTGGGCTGCTTATGAGGGTAGAGTTGCTCAAGAGTGGAGAACTGTTGACCACGGCTGAGGAGTAGATGGGGACCGCAAGCTGAACAGAGCCCTGCAAGGGCTGAGTGTGGGTTTCCAGGATGGTGGTTGCCGAGGTCCCCACTGCAGGGGCCATGGGTTTATCCAGGATCCCGCTGGGCCCCACGGGCACCGGCAGGGTAGGGCATGGTGGTGGACAGGGTGAGGGCTGCTCCCCACTCCCTGATTCCTGCTCAGGCTTCTTGGCTTCACCAGGAGCAGCTGTATCCTTATCTCCTCTCCTGAAGTTCTTAGGGATGGACAGGTCGATGGGCTCCATGGAGCAGTCATAGGGGGCTGAAGAAGAAGGGCTCAGGAAGGAGGCGGCGTTTTCCTGCTTCACTTGCACCAGGGCCAGGCCCTTCTGGGAAAAGTCCAGGGGTTCGTTGAAGTCCACTGCCAAGCTGCTAACGGGCTCCAACTTGACCGAGATGTGGGGAGGCGGAGGCTGGGTGGGGCCCCCGTGAAGAAAGCCATTCTGGGGCTCCAGGAAGGTGGCGAGGGGCTTGCGCTCGCCAAAGGCCCCGCTGCCCTCCTCTAACCTCCCTGAGGCCTCGGCAGGCGCTTCCGCAGGGCCCAGGCCTTCAGCCGCTAGGACGTAGCTCTCGATGTCATGCTCGGGCACGTGCAGGTGCTGCTTGAGGATGTGGTGGACGCAGTTGCGCTTGGCCGAGAAGGCGGCGCTGCACTCCTTGCACTCGAAGGGCTTGCGGCCCTTGGGGCAGCCGCCCAGGCCACGGCCGCAGTGCGTGCGCATGTGGATGCGCAGCGCGCGGTAGTGCTTCAAGTCGTCGCCGCACAACCGGCACACCGTGTCCGGGGAGCAGAAGGCATCCACCATCTCGGCCGCGCTGCTGGTCACGTACTCAATGTTCTTCTCGATGTCCTTGCGGGTGGCCTTGAGATGCTTTTTGCGCAGGTGCCGCTCGCAGTTGGCCTTGACGGTGAAGGGGTAGTGGCAGATCTTGCAGATGTAGGGCCGCTCACCGCTGTGTGTGCGCAGGTGGCGGATGAGCGCGGCCTTGTCGGCGGCGATGTAGTCGCATATGTTGCACTGGTATGGCGAGATGCCCAGGTGGGAGCGCACATGTGCGCGTAGCACCCCCGAGAAGGCGAACACCTGGTTGCAGAAGCGGCAGGGGTAAAGAACTTTACGCATGGCCGGCGTCTTCTTGCTGCCAGGGCCCGTCATGATGGCCTTAAGGTCTCCCTCCGTTATCTCCTGCTTGATCTTGGCATCCATGCTCAGGGGCAGCAGGGCCTCGATGATGCTGTCCTGCTCCAGCTGCGTCTTCATCTCGGCCTGGCCCGGCAGCTCCACACCTGGCTGCTGCAGGAAGAGCTGCGCAGCCGTGTTTGGCTGGGCCCCGGACTTGGACTGCAGCAGGTGGGCGTTGGAGGCCGCCTCCACGGAGCCTTTGAGGAGCTTCAGGGGTGGTGGGGGGAGGCTGGGGCTGATGCAGCCCGGGGAGGCCTGCTGGGCATTGATGAGAGGCGGGGGTGTGGAGGTGGCTACCACTGTCCGTGGGGCGACCAGGGGCTTTGGCTTGAGAGGGGGCATGTGCTTGAAAATCGCCTGCAGAGGGGTGGCGGGGGCCTTGGAGAGAGGCGGAAGACTGATTTGAGGGGGAGCCGAGGCTGCCATCTTCAGAATCTGCTGGATGTCTGCCAGCTCGATGGCCGACTCCCCAGAGATGGGCTTGACCACAATACTACTGTCTGGCTGGATGATGAAGCCCTTCTGGAAGGGCTGCAGGGACAGATGCTTCATGCTCTCCTTGGTAGCAGGGAGGACCGTGAGAGAACCGCCCAGGGAAGCAGTTTCAAAAGGAGACAGGCTCAGCATGTTGGTGCAGCCGGGGTCCTGAGGTAGCTGACACTTGAGTGTCTGGAGCTGTATTGCTTGGTTGTCATCCGGCAGGGGCTCCTCAGTTGGGGCAGGCCTGACGTCTTTGGTGTGCTGCAGGCCCAGCAAGGCCAGGAAGACCTTCTGGTCCAGGATGTCACCAGGCAGGGTCTTGGCCTGCAGCCTTTCCCGTCCCTGGTCCACGGCAACATGGGTCTGCTTGTGTAGGGCAAGGGAGGAGAGCATGGGGAACGCCTTGTCACACGTGTCGCAGACGAAACGGTGCTGCTCGCTGATGCACCTTCGCAGGTTTGTTTCGCACCAGGCCTGCACAGAAGCCAGGTTGGCAAAAGGAAGGAAATAAAGAAGAGGATGTAAAAATAATCACTCAGCTGAGATGCGAAAGTCTCTGTTGTAGGAGCAGCCGGCCTTTCTCCATATGTAAATAGCTGACTCTTCCCTGCTTGCTAACTCCCAGACTGAATAAGGAAAACCACCAAGCAGCTGAAGAATCATGTTTGCTTGATGAATGACATCGATCCCAAGGGTATCTCAGCAGGGAAGCACTGAAGTATGGTTAAGTAGTAATACCATGAAGGTAGGATTAATCCTCTTTTTAAAAATGGGTGCCTTGCAAAACTAACCGAAGGTGACTATCTGCCATTAGGGGAGATCCAGCTATCTCTGTGATTGTGGGAGAGAGGGCGGGGCCTGGAGAGGGGCACAAGGGAACCCTGGGGGGTTATGTGAGTGTACATATATGGGTGTATACATATGGAATAATTCAATGAACTTGAGGCTTCTGTGCTTGAAGAATTTCACTGTTGATTATCTTCTAGCTTAATTTTTTAAAATTGGAAAAAAAAGAGTTTCGAAGTAGTTTTAGCAGGTCTTTTATGAGCTGAGAACAAATACAGCTCAGGTTAATAATGACCCAAAACATTTTAAATACAAACAACTACAATATTGGAAATATTTAGCTGTAACACAGATATTAATCAAATATTTGAAAAATACAAATTCAGTTCAGATAGGGCTGGGGTGGAAGTGGTGAACAATTCACAACTTTAAACCCAAATGCCCCAAGAATGGGCAAAAGCACTGATGAGCAAGACTCATGCAAATTAGTATAAAATTCAACACAAAACATAAAAGGTTACCTACCCCTCCCAACTCAACAAGCCAATGAAGACTGAAACGACCAAGTTGAATTTCAATAGAAAAGGTGCTATCAGAAGACAAAACCCAACTGACAACATTTTAAGGGAAGGAATAGCTCAGGATGAGGAAGTTTAGTCCAACTACGCAGACCGTGGAGGTGGCTGCAGCTCCTTGGGCCAATCACAATACCTGAGAAATCCGAGGAAACTTCCTGCAGGAGAAGTCGGTGAACCCTAAGTCATGGAGGCCAGCAGGAATGGAAGGGTTGTTCTGTATGAAAGGCCTTCCCATTGCGTCCCTGGGAAGTTGTTTGTGGACAAGAGCATTGTGGCGTAGCAATCCTCGATGTGTTCGAAAGGTGACGCAGCAAATGTCACATCTAGAAGAAAGGGACAGGATATGAGGCGGCAGACAAGTCAGAGCTTCCACCCATCCATTAGCCTTATTATTTTATGTTGCTTCATTTCACTTGAGCAAAATAAAAACACTATGACATCAAGAAGCTAGCTTGCTCCTACAACAAAAATTCTCCCTTTAAGACAAATTATATTCTACCAACTTCGAGACAGCCAAGCTTTGCAGACAGCACAGGTGTGTCCAGTAAGAAGCTAGCTGGGAACCTGAAGCCACTGGTGCAGGCCCACTTGTTTTTACCTGAATCACACAATGTGGAGTGATCATTTCCCTCCCTCAGCTCAATGGGCTCTAATCATCAAAAATGTTTAAAAGTCAAAAAGAATGAATTTACACAGCATCTACAGCAATCAAATCAACAATCCTGGCATCTGATCAGGACAAAATAATAAATTCTCCAACTGAATTAGTAGCACGTGACAGTGATTATGTGTTCAATTCTGACATTGTTACCATCTATCTGAAAAATAATGGTAGTTCCAAGTACTGAAGGCACACCAAGTGCAAAGCACCCTATAGGGGCACTGTGCACGCCCCTGCAGGCAGCTGGGCATCCTGACCTTCATCTCACAGATGAAACCAGTGAGGCCCCAGGACATCAGGCAACATGGCTGAGGTCACACAGCAGTAAGAAGCAAGGACAAAATGTGAGTCCTTCCACCCTCACCTATCCCAAGCCTGACTCCCTTTTTCAGAAAGACTCCCACAAAGGCAGTCCATCCAAAGGTCATCACTCTTCACTTCAGAGATGACCTCCCACACCTTAAATGTCCTGGGCCACAAAGATGTGTAACAAACACCATTTTATAACGGCGTGTCTCCATTTTCTCCACTTTTCATACCAATATTGTCTTCCAGGTCTTCACTGAGAACAATTTAAAAACCACAGAACCATTATGATATTATTAACATGCCCTAGACTGAATACAGCAGCTACTAGAGTCACTCGTGGCTGTTTAAATTTAAATTAATTAAAATTTCCTCAGTCACACTGGCCTCATTTCATGGGCTCAATAGCATCAGGCAGTGCAGAGCTAGCACATTTCCAGGATCGCAGAAAGCTCTATTGGACAGTGCTACGTGGTAGTATCATTCCAAGTATGTACATGTACAAATGCCTCTGACCCTCACAAAACCTCGAAGGTTGGTCCTGTTATTGTTTTACAGAGAAAGAACTTGGGGCACAGAGGGGTGAAGCAACCTGCTCAATTTTACACTGCGTGCACCTTAATGGAAATTTTTTTTTGCTTTGAAATTCTTCTCTGGAAATAAAGAGATAATGAAATCACCCGTGAAGCAGCTGAGCTCATTTTCATCTAGCGTTGAAAGAGAGAAGTGCCAAGTATGTGCAACTCTGCTTTTCTTATCACGCTGTGGCAGGACACAGCAAACATGTTCCTGCCGTCTATCCAGCTCGCCTATCTCCACTGCTAACTCGGCTACATCTCGCCATCAAGATTCCTGTCATCATTCAATTAAATTTAGAATACTGGGTTCCCACGAGTCGCTCAAAATGCAAAACTCCTTTTGAGGGAATTCTGTTTAAGCTCAGCAACTGTGACAAAGGCTCCGGGAAGGGATGACTTCAGAGAACCCAGAACACCTTCTGGAAGTTCTCACAGCCATAGGCCCAGACAGCACAGCTTCCCTCTCTCCCCATGGCCCTGCTCCCCGGTGATCCCTTGCATGCAGGCCATGTTCTGGGGGGACAGACCCCAAACCACAGAAACCATTCCCTGTCTTAAATACACAGAGGGCTAAGTCACAGGCTACGAGACAGTTCAGCAGGGAAGCAGAATGGTCGCAGCTACTCTTGGTGAGGTTCTTTCTGGCCAGAACACACTCAAGCTCCACACTGCACACGCAGGGTGGGCTGCACCTCATGGAAGCTCTCTTCTGTTCTACTGCCCTGGAAACGGCACTCTTTCTATCACCCTAACTTTAGTCCTCCCAGGCTCAAGTTCAACTGCACTCCACGTGGTCACCAACCCATCACCACACCACTGGTCAGCTGAAAGCTCTGTACTGAACTGAAAGGATGAGAGCAATGTCTGAATCAAGGAAATTTAACACTGACCAGATATTTCATGATATTGAGAAATCACTGTTCATTTTTTAGTTATATCGATAATATTTTGGCTATGCTTTTTTTTTTTAAAGACTTTTTCCTTTACAGATCTATAATGAAATATTTATAAATGAAGAGATGAAACCCAACTGGTCATGAGTTGATAATTCCTAAAACTGGGTGATGGGTACATGGGAGTTCATTACACTGTTCTATTTTTGCATATGTTTGAAATGTTTTTTTAATATATTTAAAAGAGAGGAACATCTCATTACAAATGGCTAATGAGAGTGGGCTGACCATTTTGCTTCTTTCTCCAAGTTTCAACAATGTCGGAACCACTATTTGTGGCAGGTGCATGTTGGGGGAGCTTGATTTATAAAAACTCCAGAAGAGAAGCCCCCACAGCCAGTCTTGTGACACAGGCAGTGCGAAGAGGGCATTTCCCCAGTAGAACTACTGGATAGTCAGAGCATCTAGGCAAAGATGGAGGGGCTGGGGTCTGGAGGGAGGCGCCCAGGGCTCAGGAAGCCACCACACATGGGATTTACACACAGGCAGAGCGAGCCACCCAGGGTAAGCTGGGTGGTCAAGCCTATGGCCCATCTGGTTTGGTGCTTTTATGAACACAAGATAATTCAGATTGTCTCCCTTCTCCTCCCTGTGTCCTGTCTGGGCTACGAGCAGGTGAAGTCTGGGGAGTTGTGGGAGATGGAAGCTGGTCAGTGCCTTCCCTGAGAGCTGAGAACAAGAGGAGGTAAGACAGACTGGGACCAGTGCAAAGGCTGTAGAGAGCTATCAGCCAGTAAGCCCTACAGGCATTTTCCACCTGAAGTTGACAATAACTCACTCTTCCCAAATTAATAATTAGCACTGATTACATATATTTTGAGTAGAATATTTGCAGAGTGTTTTAAATTAATTTTTACCAGAGTTGGGCACTGTCTTGGATGCTGGAACATTGCAACACAAACTCATTTCATCCTAACGACCCAGCGAGAGAAACAGCACTAGTAAGAAGGATTCAGTCACACCTGAAGGTGGAAGCCTGTTCCTTGTTCACCTTTCCCCTGTGAAGACAGCAGGGCTTACTGCACCTTGCAGAGAGGGGCTCATTAATCAAAGTCAGGAAATGGAAAGGCTCATAAAAAAAACTTCATGTACATATTAAATGTTTTATTCAACCTAAAACATATACAGTTGACTCTCATTATTCGTGGATTCTATATTTGTGAATTTGCCTACTTGCTAAAATTTATTTGTAAATCCCCAAATCAATACTGGCAGCACATTTGTGGACATGCATAGAAAAGCTGAGTTGCCCTATGCGCATGTTCCCAGCTGAGGTAGAACAAGGTGACCTTCTGCATTCGTTTCAGCTCTCATTGTAAACAAGGGTCCTTTTTGCAGTCTATTTAGTGCCACATTTCTAACATTTTAGTGCTTATTGCTGGTGATCTCACTGTTTACAATGGCACCCAAGAGTAGTGCTGAAGTGCAGTCTAGAGGACCTAAGCGCAGGAAGGCTGTGGTGTGCCTTAGGGAAGAAATACCTGTGTCAGATAAGCTTTGTTCAGGCAAGAGTTATAATGCTGTTGTCCATGAGTTCAATGTTAATGAGTCTATAGTATTTATTAAATAAGGTGTCTTTAAACAGAAACACATAAAACAAGGTTATGTATTGATTAGTCGATTAACATGTTGTGACCTGAGGCTTGTAGGAACCTAACCTTGTATTTCCTCTAGGAACAATGGTTTAGCATTCACTAGTCCTGTGTTTATGGCGCCTTTAGAGAACACAACTACTGCAAATGACAAGAATCGGCTGGAAATTCATTCACCCATGTTTTCATGAAGGGAGGGCCAAGGACTTATGTGTGAGCTTAGTTCCACTGAATGAATTGCATGTTGTCGTTACTGCATGAATCATATTCATGATACATCTCTGACTTCCAGTTTTAGAGTCTTTATGGTAGAGCAAGAACTCAGATTCTTGCAAACCAAACTAAAGTAGAATCCTAGATTTTTATGATTACTTCTCCCTACTGTTCACAGGTGTTTTGCCTACCATAAATCTGACAGCAAAAAAACTCCCAAAACACTCTATCCAATCTGCACTATAAACAAGTCTGCCCAACTTAGTTTTCAGAGACAATTCTTTTTTTTTAAACAATATTTCACTGGCTTATATAAAATTTAATTAAATTACAGTAAATGATTACAAATATTACTGACATAAACAGGCTGGGAAGAAATAATACCGACTCTTGGTAGCATGTAAGTCAACTGCAAAAGGTGAGCAGGTGGGCCTGAGAATTGGGCTGCAAACTCTGTGAACTGTACAACACCTTATAAGTAAACATTTTGGAGCATGTGTCCAGAGACACGTGTGTGTATTATGTATGATACATACTTGCACGCATATATAATATGCCAGGTACATTATAAAATATAAAAATAGAAATGTTTAAAGGGTGAGGTAAGAAAAGTTCTATTATTTTTTTCTTGTACCCCAGAGATCGTTCTGAACACCTTATACCTTTGAGACTACTGCACTAGTGCATAGCCTATTGGCCATGAATATTCAGTGTGAGAGGTATCATAAGCAGTTTTCATCACTTATCTCCTCCTCCATTCTCTCATTCACTTTCAAATCCCTCCTGTTTCTGGCATGTAGGACAGAATTTCACACATGGTAGAACTAACCAGCGCCAGCCACAAGCTCTGTGTCCTCTGTACAAGGCAGACTTGGAGCAGTGGGGGCACGGGCTCAGGACCAGAGACACTGGGAGGGGGAGTTCAGACTGTGACCTTGGACAACTTCTATCATTTGCATTTCAGTTGCCTGCTATGTCAGATTCCCCAAACATCCTGAGATAAGAATCCCCTCGTGACCT